CTATACCTTATAATTAAAAGGTGCCAATGAAAATGGAGAGGAAATTATCCTGAATGCAAATGGGTGGATTTCGAGAATTTTTCAACACGAATTAGACCATCTTAATGGAAAACTATATACAGACATAATGGACCGTAAAACTTTCTCCTGTAGTTGTTGGGAGATTGTAAATGAAAAGGGTGGAAAAGTTGAATTACCATTTAGTCCATAATTTGTGATATTAACAAATGTCTGAGTTACCTACATTTATGTTAATTATTTATTAATCAAATTATGTAGAACCATGTTTCCCTGTGCAGTTCCTTATTGTTAATCTAGCTAAAACCTGTTGTCTTCTTGTTATTTGGAAATGTGTTTTTTGCACAGAATCAATAAAAGAAGATTAAGAGCAGTAATACTTTCATGTCATTTTGTTTAATAAGGAGTGTGGGGGCGGGACACTTCCCCAAATGCCCATAATGCAGACACGTCATTTTGATGGTCCATATATTGCCGACCGTGCCCACATCATCGACACGTGTGCAAGGAACACTAAGCTGAACGTGACCATATCATCTACTCATACAACAGTTCTTAACACGTTGAGGGACACACGCCGTACAGCGTCATAGATTTATATACAAACTTGACATGACGCCGTACAGCGTCCTCCGTTTAAGTACGTGTATTCGACAAAACGCTGTGCAGCGTCAATCTTGCAATATAACCCAATGATACTTGAATACTTCTGTCACACTTTCAATTTCCATTTTTGTTATACTGTCATAACTAAGGGTTTTTTACTCCCACCAGCATCATTCATCTTTATGCATTCGCGCGATGCAAATTGGCGCGGTACCCTGTACGGCGTCGCTAATACCGTTTGTTACTGAAGTGGTGTACGGGCACTGTCGTTTTGGCGGGAAGTCGTGTTTATAAGTTGTTTGTTTTTGTTATTTAGTGATTTTCTGTAGGACAAGTTAGTGAAAGGTATTGCATATCGATTTCTATGAGTTCAAGGATCAGTGCTATTGAAAATGAGCCGGATTAAAAGTATGGTTTCCGAATACGAGCCGAGTGGCAAAAATTGCCCTACTGAAAATCGTATGCGATTCTTCGTATCTTGTTCTTATTACTAGGTATTACTGGCAAGGGGGAGGGTAAGAGTGAGTATCCAGCTTGACGTCTATCAGAGTCGGGGCCATATGGCGTACGTATGAGACACACCTAACAAAGTACGCCAGGACGCTGATCAGCGTCAATAAAAAAAGTGACGGAAGGAAGGGCTTTAGAACTAGTTTTATTTCTCAACCCGAAATAGCAATACAAAATGAACAATTGGCAAGTATACAATTGAAGAAAGTATACTGTCACAATTTGAATTAAACGCATCCCATATGTGTCCTTCAACTTGTTAATGAAGCTGGACGGTGTGCAACACCAAGTAGCTTTTGACGTTAGGTTATTGTAGGTTTAGAATATTTTTTTTAACTTTTTTCGGCGTAGTGTCCCTACTTGGCGATATGGACCATCAAAATGACGTGTCGGCAATTCCGCATTGTGGGCATTCGGCGCAGTCTCCTAGACCAAAAAGCTGTGCCAGTGCAGAGTTTTACATAATTGTAGTTTAATATACAGGGTGTTCCTTAAAGACATGTTAATATTTAAGAGGGTGATTAAGAAAAAAAACTTGGTATTACCACCATGTATAGTTATAATAATAATATTATTTATTGACAGCCAAGCGAATTTATACATAAATTATTAACAATAACAACAGTATTTTCATTAGTATAACAAGATATATAGATATTAATAAATAATACAATAATAAATTACATAATAGCAAGGAAAAACCAACAATTAGTAAATATAAATTGTAGGTATATCTCAAATTAAAATAATTTATGACTAAGTATAATATATTTAGTTTATATTTATAATAGAAATTTAGATTTTAAGGTAGACGGTTTCATTATTTTATCAGAAATTCGGCAATAACTCCGATTACCAAAATCACGTTAAGCCATGAAAATTTTCTAAAGAATTGACGAGTGGGACGCTAATTAAAATATCGCGTACAGTAACTATTTTCGCCGTCGTTTATTATAAATACTTTTTCCTCAGTGAATAAATTTAAAAAAAAATTATTGACAGTTGTCATAAATATTCAATTCATATCGAATAACGAGTTTTTGATTTAAAAAAACCGATACAACTGAATACCGAACGATCCTCGAGATATTCACGCATCCATCATTTTTAAACGCGCCTTAAGGGGTTGATTCTGTCCCACCAGATCGGAATAGCTTGTAAAACAAAAAATTGCGCATGCGCAAAACAAATTTTTTTATTCGGCATTAGTTTTACTTTTACTCAAGGTGCCTACATCTTAAATTTCAATTAAATATCTTAAAACAATAAAGAAAAATTGGGATTGCGCAAATACAAAAGTTAGGTTGCGCATGCGCAATTTTTTTATTCATCTGCATAGTTACCCGGGGTTTAAGGAACATTTACTAACACAGCAAACCGGATGTTCTTTGTAACAAGAATTACAAAAGAAGCCCTTTTTTGGAGGTTTGAGCAATTTTTGGGCTGTAACTTTTTGCCCCTCTAGTATGCGTAGCTGAAAAACAATAGCGACTTGTCTTATATCCTTAAGAACAGATGTTTCAATTTTAGAAGCGATCGGACGTTTCTATACAAAGTTATCGTCGTCACGGACAGACGAACAGACAGCAATACAAAATTATAAACAATCTCGAGGATCGTTAATAATGAGAAATACAACTGAAAATGAACTAATTCGTATATCACTAGATAAAGAAAAAAAATCTTCTTTCGATTGGTGTCATTATAAACCCGCTAAGACCTAAATTATCATGGGGCGCAACAATCTGCAAAAAACCTTTTTCCCATGTTAATTGCGTATGTTCGTTTTTGGAATATTTTTATTTTATGCCCGTGTATACCGGATGGTGCCTAGCGCGACGCAGCATAGGGACTTCAATGGTAATTGTTTTATAGTAAATTACTAGCAATAACTAGCTCCCCAAATTATTTTAGAGCAAAACTTAAATACGTTTTTTTAGAGAAAAAAATACTGCATCTGTTCATACTATTAATTATAATTTTCCGTTTTTCAAAACCGTACAAATCGACAAAATAAAAAGGTTCATTTTACAATAAATCGGATATGCCTTGGAATGACCTAAAAAAAACAGCGATCCTGTATCAGTATTTGCCTTTGACGTTTATTAAATTTAATAATTTATACTTTTGTTTACAAATTAGTTAAATAACTGCAAGTGCAATAACGTTCAAAATCAGTTTTTTCTTCTTCGATTATGTAGGTACTCTGGTTCCGAAAAATGATAAACAAATAGTATCTGATGCAGATGCAGCATTACATTCTCTAAAAAAACATTACCCCATAGATGCCGTTTATTGCGTTGGTTAGTTGAAACAGAATTAAGGTCCACGCAAACCGACGCGGACGCGGGAGCGGTACGGATGCGGGAAATATTTCTACAGCGGTATATGCGTGCGAACCGCCGCATCGGTGTGCGTGCTCGCATATCCCGCTGTAGAAATATTTCCCGCATGCGGTACCGTGTCCGCATGTCCGCGTCGGTTTGCGTAAACCTTTAAATATGAAAATCGTTCGACGTCACACAACGATAACTTAGATGCGATGCGCTTCTAGTTTGTTGAAAGATTCCAAAGCATTACTGATTTATAAAAATGTAATTTTTTATTTTGTGGATTTCTACGGTTTTGAAAAATGGAAAATTATAACTAATAGTATGAACAGATGCAGTATTTTTTTATTTTTTTCTCTAAAAAAAAGGTATTTTGAGTTTTGCTCTAAAATAATTTGGAAAGCTTGACTATAAAGAAATTACCATTGAAATCCCTGTGCTGCGTTGCGCTAGGCACCACCCTGTATATGTGTATTTGACAACACTCCATCATAGCCGAGCACAGAGCATAGCGTATTACACTTCTAAAATTTATGTGGTGTCGGCGGGGGGGGGGCGACGGTATGACGTCATCCTAGAGCTGGGTATGAGTATTACATGTATTCCTGAATGTGGAACAACACCGATTAAGGCAAGACTTTATTCAAAATTTATCGGTTTCTTTCAATTTACGAACATTAATTTCGATTCCCAATAGTATGAGGCAACTCATATCAAAATTTCGTTCAGATAAGTAGATAAATACAAAAACCGCTAAATTTTGAATAAAAGCGATGCCGCCGAAACGCATTCGGTGTTTCACCAGCGCCCTCAAACGTCACTAGGTCAATACCTTTTTTATTTATCTACTTATCGAAACCAAATTTTGATATGAGTTGCCTCATACTATTGGGAATCGAAATTAATTTTCGTAATTTGAAAAAAACCGATACATTTTGAATACAGCGATCTCGCCTTTGTTCCACATTCAGGAATACCTGTAATACTCCTACCCAGCTTTCGTTATACGCATCCGGGCTGCTGTAGCGCAATGACGTCATACCGTCGCTATCTTCACACACATTTGATGGGATGCTAAAATGATATAATATACCCCAGAACTATATATAGTTTGTTGTTCTATGTAATATACAAAGTATCACAATAATCCGCCGGTTTGGAAGTACCTTTTTACCGTATAAAATTAGTTTTCAAGAATGGCTAAAAATGACGCAAACTCCAATAAAATGTAATCTCTCCAGGTATTGGAAACTTGGTCATTCATATCATATTTCTTGGAAACAGTGTGCCCTCCGCACATGCAGTTGCCCATGCCCAGGGTATAGATGCACCGAAAGTGGCAAAACATTTTCAAATTCACATCTCACAGCTCAAAATTACCTTTCCATGCTACTTAGGTGATAATTTAAACAACAAAATTGTATTTTAATTTATTTAAAATTTATACGAATTAATATAAGATTAAAACTTAACATTAGTGCCCATTTTAATGTAAAATGGATAAATAGAAAGAAAAATAAATGCTACTATAGGACATGAAATAAAATAAGTCCTTTATAGATATCCACAACATTCGCAAACAAAATTAAAAATGTAAACATGTGGTACCATTCTAAATAAACTACGAGAACAAACACTAAATACCTAAGAATAAATGTAATAGTAACCCCCGAAGATCTTATAAATTTTTAATTATCTTAAAAAAATGTCACACAGTAATAATTCACTTTTTCAGTAAAATTTGCATAAGATTTGTTCTAAAATTGTTCACAGTTTTTTCCAACTCTGCAACTTGCGCTTTTAATTTCATGTTTTTCTCTAACAGCTCATCTGCCTCGTCCTCTTGCGCACATTCTTTTAATTTCCTTTTGAGTCGCGACTTTCGTGAGGCCTCGTTATTTTTATCCCTCATTTCCCTATACCTATCATTACTTCCGCTGCTGCATTCAGACACATTTGTAGAGTAGTTCTTTGGTGGTCGGCCCCTGCGACTCTGCGTTGATTCACATTCTGAATCGATAGATAATTTAGGTAACTTCCTATTAGACCCAAATATTCGTTGGTAAGATGGAGGTGGTACATAGTCTTCGTCATCCGAATCGTGGGTCTTGAGTTTCCTTTTGCGTGTCTGTTTGGTGACTGAATGTGAATCATCGGATGTAGTTGGGAAGAATGATGGTACATCTAATGGCGAAAATATTGGTTCGGCTGTATCAAATTCCTGAAAAAAAACTCTTAGTTAACTTGCATGAAAATGATTTGAAAATTCACTTGCCTCCTCTGTAATAAAATTTAGTATGTTGAATGCCTTCTCAGACTCTATTGCGTCTATTGTTTCTATTACGTCTGGTGTATCTAGAGAATCCAAGTTTTTGTATTTTGTATCGAGATCTAGTGTAAGCCTAGAGTTGCTGTTGCTGCAGTCGGCAGAGCTCTTTGATAAATCGGGACTGGATATTGAAGTTGTTTCTAATTTAATGTATTGATCACTGTGAGATTGTTCATCATTGGTGTTGCTATTATTATTGAAGAAAATATCAGTGTAGTTGTTCACTGTAGGTAAATATTCTTCATAATCACAAACTAGTTCATAAACTGGGGTTACTGTATTATTACTATTAGAATATACGTTACTGTATTCCAAATGACACGGAACATGATCATTAGGCTGTTGGTCATTTAAGCCTGGACTACCGAGTACTACATAATTCAACTGATCAGTGTCGGTGGTTATCATGTTCGGCATGTTGGTCATGTCACTATTTTCTAGCAAAACATTGCTGTCTTCTTGCATAATAATATTATTTGTATCATTTATATTTACAGTATTCATACTGGATAACTCATTTTTTAGTTTATAATTGAACGGATCTTCTAATGAAGCAGGAACATCAAGAAGATCAGACCTGGAGAGTGGGCGATCATAATTGAAACGCGCCTTTTCTGCAAGATGTGCGTTAAAAAACATATTAGGGCGATTTAAAACCAATTTACCAAAGACAGGTGTATTAAGTTCATCTGTAGCACTTTGTTGTGCCATTGCAACGCTGGGCTGGCACAACTCGGAGAGATCTCCGAACATTTCCATTTTCACTTGCAATCTCGGATTTTTCACTTGGGGAGCAATATTTGACAAATTCTCTTTTAAAACACTGGGGCCGCCCTAAAAAACATACAATTTACAATTTATACCATACGCTACTACATGTTTACTTGGCGCAAGTTTCTTGCTGCGGGCGTAATCAAAACACGGCACGAGGCCTCTCTCAGATGCGTAGGTAACATAGATTGGTTTACGAATAACTCGGGATCGATTAAGTTTATCTTTTCGATATCCCGATTTATACACTTGCTTGCTTTCAGGGATGATTTCTCGCCATGATCCACTAGGGACGACGGTAGCGATGAACAAAGCCATTTTTCAAGAATCTGAAACAATGCGGCCATTTAAAGGTTTGTCAATCGCAGCTATGCCAGATGGTGTACCCAAGTAAATTGTAAAATTTATTTTTTGGGCAAAATCAAGCAGTAATGAACTTACAAAAGGTAATTGGCTTTTTTGCGGACTAGAAATGATGGCTTCTCTGAACTCTTACAGAGGAAAGAGTTGAGCGCTTGGAATGCTTCTCAACCTGAAACAAAAAAAAACAAATAATTTCTCAGTGACACACTAACATTTTATAAACAAAACTTACACCTTATTAAACATAAATTAAATACAAAATTACCCGCTAAATTTATTATGTTCATACACCAAGTGAAATTGAAACTGTAGTGTTGGGTTCTAATTTACTGTTATTATTACATTATATAGTATACTTTTTTCAATCCTCATAAAAATGAGCGATTTTGATAATTCAGGTCCAATAGAATGCCAAGCAAATAAGAATATTTCGTTTCCTATAGTATTGATTCAATCGGTAATACAATTTAAAGTCATTGCTTTAAATCATGATTAAATTGTGGTACAAATCAAATCTATTTAAGGAGCCTTTCATTAGTAATGATTCTTTTTATCATTTATAGGAATAGTTTATTCTCCAAAAATCACAAATTTTGTTTTTCTTAAAAAAAATATCGACTTTCTTAAGATATTTAAACAATGTTTGAATGAAGCTTATGATGACCCTTAAACAATCTCGGTGTTTGAATTGGCATTTTTAAAAATAGATTATTATACAGGATGTCCCACATCTAGTTGGATTCCATGGGTACCCTTTACAGTTCTGCTTACTGATTAAAATAACTAAATAATTAAAATAAAAAAAAATTTACAATTCCAGTTAAAAAATTTGAAAAAAAATTAAATATTGCGGTCGTTATAAAAACTAACATACAAAATTTTATCTCAATAGGACAAACTCAAAAATAAAAAATATAAATATAAGAATGCGGCTACGTGGATGAATATACCAGTAAAATTTTAATGGGAGTAGCTGTAGGCTTTAGTAACCATTTTAATCTTCTCTTGGTAACTGCGTCTGTTCCCTTTTTTTCGCTATCATTTCCTATTGAAATAAACCGATACAACGAAATATCGAAGGACCCTCAGTATTGCAATCACTTTTAACGACAATTTATTTTAATCTTAAAAAATACATTTTATAGTTAACAAAAATCAAATTCATGTCTTGAGCATTGAGATAATGCTCTTAGTTCTTTTCCAGCGATCTTGGTACAAATAACGATTTTGACATGTTTTGATCAAAATTCATGTGGTCTCAGAAAAATAATTATCTTTGAATCATACACATGCGGTTATCAAATGTGCACGTGATGTACTCTTTCAGCATCAAGATAATGCGTTTGAAAGCTTATACAACTCCTAATTCATTTGTAAAGAATAATTTTGGGTACAATTTGCTCTAAAACTTTCGACCTAGACCACAGAGAAGAGTTATATTGAATTGTTACACATCAAAGTCATAGGGAATAATCTAGCGAAAGTCCGAACTCGATACATTCAGTCTTATTCTCGTGGCATTTGTTATTTTAGCAAATTTGCTACGTTTAACGAATTTGTTAAGTCGCGTTTAACAAATTGTTAAGTAGTTTTGTTCGTTTGCAATTCTGGTGGCACTTTGCTAGAAGCGAGTTAACAAGTAAGGGCGTGGCTACGGTTTTGCTACGCCATACCGCATGAATGTAGCCGTTTCTTGTCCGTATTCCGAAAAGACGCACAAATAGTTCGAAAAACATTTTCTTTTTGAAAGAACTCCAAGAAATTGCAGCAGCTCTGAATAAATTAACTAACTGCTGTTCTCCACGACATAGTAGCTGCGATTTGGAGCCGAAATAGTTGAATTCGCCTAAAATATTTTTATATTTTTTAGTTATCGTTACTATTATTCTTCACGCTTACCTACTCTTATCTCGTTTGATATATTTTATGAGTTTATTTTAGTTTATTAACTTGTTCTTTTCTGGACTTTCATTTTTTAATTCAAGATAAAACAACTCGCCTGCAATATCAGGAATATCTACATTTCTGCAGGAAAAAAGCGGCTGTTTGAGGCAAATATTAAGAAAGATGTTCCTTCCAAAAATGATTTGTAGGAAGCACTCGCCTTGGACCTCAATAATCTCGATGGTACATAGAGATTGGTGCTTATACCTTCGTCCCTATCCATGACTCGTGACTCATGAGCATTTGAATCAGCAGTAATATCCTAAAATTTTGGGTGAAAAATTGACTTGAAGTATTTCTTCGTAGCAAAACAATTTGACGAAAAATCACAAAATTTAATCAGCCATTTTTAAGCACACGGGATATTCGGCATGGATATTTCCCAGAATTCACAGCGGTTTTAGTATTCGCGAAGCAATATGCACCAAAACTGGACATCGCGGAAGAGAAGTGCATTCGAAATTAGTACATTAGGAGACATTTTCGATTTTCGTATCTAAGCAACCGCAAGTTTGTGGTCGTCTAATAGGCAAAATCCCTGGTAAAATCAGAAGCGATACAATTTTAACACATTTTTAACCGCGGTAAAATTTTGACGTTTGCGAATTAATTGTTGAAGTATAGACATGTAACCAAATCAATTCTAATTCTTTTACTACATGCAGGAAATAATATGTAAAATATCGTGATCTGTAGCCGTTGCAAGGCCCCGCTCCCTGCGTTAATCCGTACAAGAGTGAGTTATTTCACGTTAACAAAGTGCCAACGCCAATTCAGAAATGGCGTAAGAATCGTAGCAATTTTGCTAGGCATCTTGTTACGCTAACCAAACAAAACGGCTACCAGAATACCAATTTTTGTTAGACGTAGCAAATTTGCTCAGTTAACAAACAAAACGCTTAACAAGTGGCACGAGAATAAACCTGATTACATGGCCTAGCTAGGGAATGAAATATCTCGATTGCTATGATATTGAGCCCGCAGTTTTTCCTGTTGCTATTTTCAAATTCTCTAAAAGAGAGTTTTAATCTGTACCTAAAACTGCAAAACATTAACAATCGATAAGTCCGAAAGTTGCCCAATGCAATACCACAAGATTTACAGCATCCTGTATTAGGCGTTGGGTTTGCAAGGGTAAGAATACCTTCATCTATAATTTTCGCAATACTCACTAAAGACAAAATTTTAATTCGTTCACAAAAATATTCGTAAAATACCTACGATTATAAATTGTTCCGCTGCGAATATTCAAGGGTTAGCGTAGTTATAAAATCGGTATCCAGTATTTAATAAGTAATAAAATACTTAAGAAAAATGAAAACGAAAACATGGCAGTAGGAAATTGCCAGTTCGTGAATGAATTTGTATTAAATGTAAACGTGCCACCCCTGTCTACACATCTATATCAAGTACCGGTTAGGTACGCTACTGAACTACTAATCCTAAAAATGGCGGATGTACACCAATTCAACAAAAATAGTTTCCCCAGAAAATTATTCCATACAGTGATTTCCCATTTACTTGTGCATGTGTTGCCTATGTGTACAAGGTTAAACATTTTTGTTTAGTCGGTAGTTTTTTTTTAAAACACAAATGGAATGTTATAATTATAACCAAGTTTTCAGATTTATAATTTTATACCTATGCGAGTAAAATAACAAACGGCAACAACCTTTGAGACGATGGTAGAATAATTTCTCCCCTTATCACCCCACTTCAAAATTTAGCATTATTATCCATCAAGTTTCAAAATATGATGCAATACCTACATTTGTTTGCCATTTTTGTCTCTGTTGTATACTTACCTATTCTCTATGATCAAAACCATAACATAAATTAAATATAATTGCATGCATAGGTAAAGGTAGGTACTTAATTCCAGCATACCATTATTCAATGTGTAAAAGTAATCACGCGAATTACACAATTGCCGATTCACGGGTAAATCCCAGGATTGTTGGAGGGGGGAGGGTACGGTTTGTTTCATAAGAAAATAAAAAATTATAACTGTAATGACAGCCTACTCTCCGCTAACTGAAAAGCAGGAAAAATCAACAAGTTTCCCTTAAAATAATTACCTAAATACGCTTTGATACGATATTTTCGTCAAGGGCACGGCGCGTTAACCATAACATACCTACTTCATAGTACTTGTAAATCATAAGTGTGACGGAATTTGCCTCGGTGACAATTTGTTTTTATAGGCACAAAACAACGCATAAATTGAAGCAGATTAAATAGCACTTACCCTTATTTGATGCCTTTTTCAAACGTTCGAAGCACCTGTTTGTCGATTTAAATAAACAAATTAAAGATTTAAAGGCGTAAACGTTTGAATAATAAAGCCAACTGTTCTTAAAATTGTTTCAAAGCTAAAGGCGTTTACTTTTACAGCAGCACACGTAACAACCGTGTGCCAACACTTTCAAGCTAAGAAACGGAATAAAATGCAAAATCTGTTTGGTGAATTAGGAGGCGCCGAAAGGTAGAAAGTGGCGCCGTTGTTACAAACAGCGATAACTACCGCTATCTTCGTTTCATACGTTCCAAGTAGCACACGTCCTTGTTTCCTCGTGTTGTGATTGGTCGCAATGACGTCAATGTCGACCTATGATATTTTTAGAATGCATAACAAGAGAAACGTTGTTTCCGAGAAATGGAAAGCAGTATTGAGCGTCAAACTCCTTCACAAATTCTGATGATTCATTCTGGGAATACAATTCGATGAACTTGAAAATTAGAAGTAAATTACCCCGATGAAGGACGAACTAGTATGCATAGATTAGGAAAATATACGTCATCCAAGTCGAGTATTAATTATGTAGACGAGCGACGAGCTAATTTTTTCCACCTAAGTGCTTCAAAGAAAAATGTGTTTTTTTTATAGCAAATAAAGTCGTTGAGATAACTTTCTGATTATCTAATCATTTCTTTCCTTTCTGCCCAGTAAAGTGTGTAGGTCAAATGGTCAATATCAAAGTAAAAAAATGAATGCAAAAAGCCACAGGTAGTTTTCATACGTACAGTGTGTCCACGGATTGAGTGCACAGCACATACAGCGTAGGTACATACCTTGGATCATGGCCTAATATATAACTCTCGCCAGGAAAGATTGCCGGTCACAGCACACCCTGTGTCGATCTACAATCTATGTTTTTCTTAAGATGCGAGCGACTTCCGGAATAGGATCGTGCCAATGTTGAACGAAAAGTCTTTTTGTTCAACATTGACACGATACTATTCCGGAAGTCGCTCACATCTTTAGAAAAACATAGATTGTAGACCGGCATCAAGTGTTCTGTGACCGGCAATCTTTCCTGGCGAGAGGTTTACTCTTATTAGGCCATGCCTTGGATCATATCATATGTTCTGTGGATCGCTCCTGCTTAGTATCAAACTAAGATAATAAAATATGAGCCAAATTAATATACCTACAGAGTGTTTTTTTGTCGAATTCTAAAAATTAGTCAGGAGTAAACTCGGGAGTAAACCCCGGAGTAAACTGTTTTTATTTTAACATATATAGTAACAAGAATGTATTTAAAAAAGTTGTTAGACTTTCAAATTTCATATAAATCAGCCTGCTTTGATTGTTGCTACAAACATGAGTGCAAAAGTATTGGATGCTGTTGAAAAAATCAAAGATTTGTATGAAAATTTAAGGTCTTCTACAGGGCCGGATTAACGTTTCTGTAGGCCAGGGGCTAAACATATTAGAGGGGCCCTATTCCTATACAAAATAGGTTATAATTTCAACAAACGCCAAATTTAACGATATTAATTTTTATTGTCGGAAATGTAGGCTGTGCAAAGTGCAATGCGTAATCCAATCCAACTTACTTTTAAAATATTAAGAAGGTGTTTGTCTACAGTCCAATTAAGCATTCGCTGGCATTCCCATTAATTTCTGGAATGCTGTTTAAAAGGAATTTATGTCGAACTTAACAATACATACCCTGATCATTGTTTAAATACTAAACAATGCCCTGATATATACTTATATAGGTAGGTACTAATACTGTCTAAAGTGAAGGTTAAGCTTACGGATACGAATACCTACAGCTACAGATTTTTCGGAATAGCAAAACAGTAATGGTAATATATTATGACATACCTACTAGAAAACCGCTTTAAAAAAAGGAGACAAAATCTGTATAAATCATAAATAGTACATCCTTAGACTGGGGCTCTGAAGGCACGGGGCCTGGGGCTGTAGCCCCCCCCCCCCTCTTAATCCTGGGCTGGTCTTCTAGAACTTTTTCAATTCCAAACAACTTTTTCAAATACATTTTATCTGCTTAAAATAGACAGAGTAATCTTGACTAATTTTTAGAATTCGCCAACACCCTGTATATTAATTGATTTGGCTCATTTTTTTAATATCTTAGTTTGAGATCAAGTAGAAGCGATCCTCAGAACATGGAGACCCAACTTAATCTTTGTGAATCTGTTTTGAATTTTTTTTAATTCACTTGAATGTTGCAAGTTGTGTGTATATTTGTATATAGAGAATTAATATTCTATGTTTTTAGAAAAAAATATACAGGGTGCTCCACAAAAAATGAGGTTAGGGTTAGCCAACAACAACTAAAATACAAAAACAAAGTACTACCGAGTGACGTCATCATCCGACGGCCCAGAGAAACGTTGTATTACTTGGTTTGTGTAGTTATTCATGTTTAAAATCGATTTAATGTAGTTTTGGCGATCAATCTGCAGATCCAACTTTACAAAAAATAACGACACGAATTTATTAAAAAAACAAAAACAATTTAAATGCGCTTAATTCTGCTGCCCATTTTGTGCATTCTCAGATGTTTTACCGTCAATTAAATATATCAAGTAATTAATAATAATAATAATAATAATAATAATAACACGCCCCGTGGATTACCACAGAAACCACACGCACTGAATACATTACTCCTATGAATAACACAAACATCACTACAACAGACATCATTCAAACTATTAATCACTTACATAACTGGAAAAGTCCAGGCATTGATAACATTCACAACTTTTGGTGGAAATATTTTACCTACACTCACTCTTACCTTGCACAACAATTTACTGAACTTCTTAATTCACCAGATCGCACTCCTGCATTCTTTACACAAGGTATCACTAGCTTACATGCTAGTAAGCTAGTGATACAAGTAACGCAACATGCACTACAAAGACGCCCTCACTCAATAAAGTTACATGGCCTAGCACAGCTAAAAAACACAAAACTCCTTCTCCCCACAAACACACCATGTTATCACAACCCACTCGTATTCAACCCAAACGCAAAAACCTATACAGCACTACTAGCTCACAAAATACTGTAATATCTCCATCAATAACCCAAGCAACCTCACAAATACAACCTGCAAGAAACACCATAAATACAAGTAACGCAACATGTACTACAAAGACAGGTCCATCCAATAAAGTTACACGGCCTAGCACAGTTAAAAAACACAATACCCCTTCTTCTCAGAAACAACCCACTCGTATACAACCGAAGCGCAAAAACCTTAACAGCACCACAGGCTCACAAAATACTGCAATATCTCCACCAAAAACCCAAACAACCTCACAAATACGACCTCAGGAACAAAGAAACACCATAAATACAAATAAAAAACACAAAACTCCTTCTTCACAGAAACACACCACGTTATCACAACCCACTCGTATTCAACCCAAACGCAAAGCCAAAGAAACACTTGCACAATAAACTCCATTTAATAAAATTACAGGAATTATTATAATGATTTTTTTTGTTTTGTTTTCCTCTTTCCTGATAGCGTTGGCTATTGTACCCATCAATAGGTATGTTGGTAAGTACGAATTGCATACTATCCCTAGATGCCCAACTTCACCAGACACAGACACAGACACTAATCGTTACTTGATTTTAATCCGTGCGATTAGTTAACCAGGCTAGACCTGAGTTCTCACAAGAAACACCTACCATAATAATAATAACTTCACAGAAACATACCACATTATCACAACCCACTCGTATTCAACCCAAACGCAAAAACCTAAACTGCACTACTAGCTCACAAAATACTGTAATATCTCCATCAATAACCCAAGCAACCTCACGAATACAACCTCAAGAACAAAGAAACACCATAAATACAAGTAAGGCAACATGTACCACAAAGACAGGTCCACCGAATAAAGTTACACGTCCTAGCACAGTTAAAAAACACAACACTCCTTCACAGAAACACACCACGTTATCACAACCCACTCGTATTCAACCCAAACACAAAGCCAAAGAAACACTTACACAATAAACTCCATTTAATAAAATTACAGGAATTATTATAATGATTTTGTTTTGTTTTGTTTTGTTTTCCTCTTTCCTGATAGCGTTGGCTATTGTGCCCATCAATAGCTATGTTGGTAAGTATGAATTACATACTATCTCTAGATTTCCAATGTGAGTGTGTGAATTTTTATTTTTATTATATTTATTTTATTTTTTTAGGACCCTACATAACTTCACCAGACACAGACACTAATCGTTACTTGATTTTAATCCGTGCGATTAGTTAACCAGGCTAGACCTGAGTTCTCACAAGATACACCTACCATAATAATAATAATAATAACTTTATTAGATCATAAACCAGAGTAATGTGGCATTGATCAAGTCAATAAAAAAACATACAGTGAGTTTTTTTTAATGCCAACATACGCTTTTGTATGCAATGTAATTTCCCTATATTCGATTTTAAAAAAAACGCATCAATCTATGAGGTGTGCGCGGTTCACATTCCCACCAGCGAAACGCGCAACTTTCGTGACTATGAACAGCAACGGTTTCTATAGTCTTCATGATGAAGACTGTGAAGAGCACTCGATAAGATTTTTTTTTAAGAAGCCATGTGAGGCCATAGTAACTTTAAGATACATCTTTCTTAAACTTACGATAACTTGACCTCGCAGGGCACTCGCTGTCATCACAATTGATTGTGAACCAACCTTCAATTATTTGTAGGTCAGTGCACCTGGTAGTCTATTAATTTCTTAGACTATGAAAGAAAGGGGACTGACAATATCCTATCCAGCGCAATGCTGCGCGGTGACGCCTGAGGCGGCCATATTTTCGGAGCCAAAATTTGTTTAATTTTTCATTTTCGTGATTATGCGATCCTTAAGTCTCGAAATATGCGATTAAAAACATTATTGGACAATGGTACATTGTAGTGCACGGAAGTAATAGCCAAAAAACACACGAAAGTATTTCGTTTCACAGGTATAAATTTGAGGTTAGTTTTCGGTGGAATAACAAACAAATGTGGGCTACACTTTACGATCAATATTATCACTCCTCATTCTTTCCTTCTCTAAGATT